GGAATATACGGATAGGGGAACAAACCAGACCCTGGTAGGCGGATAGCGTTAAGAGAGTGTGTTCAGGAATGACAGGAAATCGAGGGAGAGGGAGGGGAGGCGAGCAAGGGCATCTTTGAGGCAAGTGCAGACAGGGAAGGCTTCCTGGAGGAGGTGACGCCTGAAACACACAGGGAGGAAACCAGGGGGGTGGCCGGTAGAAGGGCCTCCCCGCTGGAGGAGGAAAGTCAGAGCAAAGGCTGAGATGCACTGGAGGAGGCTTGGGGAAGCTGAGAGAGAGAGAGAGAGAGAGAGAGAGAAGGAGGGAGGGAGGGAGGGAGGGAGGAGGAGGAGAGGGGGTGGGGTGGGGGCGAGGTGCACGGCAGTCTCCCCACCTCTCCAGCCCGCAGGGCGGAAGCCCAGAGCCATCGCGTCTGGTCTTCACAGCAGAGCTAACCCATCCACCCATCCGCCAGACCCGCCGGCTCCTCTGTTTATACCCTGAATTCCTCCGCGTCAAAGCCCCCACCTCCTGCCCCATTCCTGGCTCCGGACATCTGGATTTCCTTACGAGAGCTGCCTCCCTCCCTGGCCGCCAGCCTCAGCTCTGTTCCCCTGTCCCCCACCCTCCCCTGCAGCAGCCAGTGGTGCCTGTGAACACCCACGTGCATCTGCGTCCCTCTGCCCAGAGCCCTCCGTGGCTCCCAAGCCCTCCCATGGCCCATAAGGCCGTGCAGCCTCTGCCTGGTCTTCTCCCTCCCCTCCCCTCCTCCCACACCAGCCTCCAAGGGTGGGCGTTTGGCTCAGTGGTTTGGGCGCCCCCTTGGATGCCTGCATCCCACATCAGAGTTCAAGGTTGAAATCCCAGCTCCGTGTGCACGCGCACCCTGGGAGACAGCAGATGATGGCTCAGGTCCTTGGGTGCCCGACACCCACGGGAGACCCAGGTGGAGTCCCAAGCTTCTCACTCCAGCCTGGCGCAGCCCTGGCCGCTGCAGGCACTGGGGGAGCGAGCCAGCAGGTGGAAGATTTCGATCTCTGTGCCTTTCCAATACAATGAAAAATACATTTTTAAAAGACTTATCTGAAAAGGAGATTTGACAGAGAGAGGGAGAGACGGACATCTTCCACCACATCCTGGTCCATTCACTGCATGGCCACAATGACCCGGGCTGGGCCAGGCCAAAGTCAGGAGCCAGGAGCTCCATCCGGGTCTCTCACATGGGTGGCAGGGGCCCACATACCTGAGCCACCCCCTGCTGCTTTCCCAGGCGCATTAGCAGGGAGCTGGATTGGAAAGGGAGCAGCCGGGACTGGCTCAAGATATCAGATGCACGCATTGCCAGGCGCTTAACCCACTTTGTCAAGGTGCCTGTTACCGTGTATCCATTTCCATGTTCTTCACGCCCAAGGTGGCCCCATGTGTTTCCCATTTGTGGCCTGAATCCTCCTACCAAAATACTAGCTCCCTTTTTGTGGCCTGAATCCTCCTACCAAAATACTAGCTCCCCGGGACCCAGTCTGAATTTCTGTTTGCTGATCAGTCTCCAAAACCCTCATGTCCCCGGGGCGGCCAAGGCCCCGTGGGTGTTCTGAGGGCCCAGGCGTCTTCACTTAGGGGCTCATCCTCAACCCAGCCCAGCCTTGTGGGGTTCATACACAGCAGACACCCTGGAGCTCACACACTCACCCCCCTCCCCAAGCAATGGGAACACAGAAAATCCCAGTCTTTGTGCCGCTGGGGGCTCCAGCTATGAGAAAACAAACAGCCCACAGCCAGGTCAGGGTGACCGTGCCTAGAAGAATGAGGCTGAGAAGGGGGTGGGGGTCCCGAGTTGGAGGGGGGAGCATTTCACTGGAGGGGCCCTCCCTGGAAAGGTGATGCTAGAACCAAAGCCTGGAGGGGGGAAAGAACATTCCAGACACAGAGGCAGCATGTGCAAAGGCCCAGTGGTTGATCTTTGCCTCGGGTAGGCCCAAGGAACAGCAGGGAGGCCCATGAGGCCAGAGCCGGATGAGCGAGGTGGGGAACATGTGCAGCCTGGGGGGAGAGGGAGGCCGGGGAACCCTCCCACCCCCACCAAGCCCCAGGCAGATGCGGGGTCTCTGCACACACGGGAATCCAGCCCTCCCTCCCACCCTCTCACCTCTCAACAGCCAAGAGCCCGAATCCGGTGGGGTCTCGTAGCAGGCACAAGTCCGAGGATGAGCCCCAGGGTCCAGGAGGGGCTCTGAGCTGGGAGCTGGGGACGGGGACAGGGACAGGCTGGTGGGAGAGGAGGCTGGGTAAGGCAGCCCCGGGAGCCTGGGACTGGAGCCCCAGCTATAAATATTTAGCATTTCCCACGTGAGAACTGAAGCAGAATCGCCAGACACCCCCTACCCCGCCTTGCCAGGCCCCCAGAGGCTGATAACACAGGTCAGCGCCCTGGACCGCCCTCCGCTTCCTCCCAGCACAGCACAGAGCGTGGGAGGCTGCAGGCGCTGGCCGGCCGGCGGGGCTCCCACCCCAGACACACACACACACACACACACACACACACACACACGATGATGGTGAACACCAGCGGGCACCTGCAGGGGGTCAGCTTCCCCTCTGAGCTCTGCACCCATGTTAATCCTCCCACCCTGAGCTGTTGCCCTATTTCCTACAAGGGAAGAATGAAGCCCAGAGAGGGTGAGCCACTCGCCTGCAGACACACAGCCGGAAGGGGAGGAGCGTGACTCCTGGACTCCCACGCATGGCATGCCACTTCCACAATGGACACGAACACACCAATGCACACATCCCAAGGCCCAACAAGAGTGCAAACCATCGCATGGGGCACACCGAGGAGCAGATGGAGCTGCCCTGAGCAGGGGTGTGTCCAGAAATCATGCCCGGTACACACACGTACCAGGGCCCAGGCGCTTGGCACAGCGTCTAAGACCCTCCTTGGGATACCTATGTCCCAGATTAGTCCCGGGTCCTGGCTCTGCTCCTGATCCAGCTTCCTGCTAACGTGCAGCTTGGGAGACATCGGGTACTCAGGGCCCTGCCCCCGACGTGGGAGACGCGGATCACGTTTCTGACATCTGGTTTTGACCTGGCCCACCGGGGAGATGAACCAATGGAAGGGAAACCTCTGTTTCTGTCTCTCTGCCTCTCCAAAAAAAAGTTTTTTAAGACATCATAGATTCAGGCAAGAATTGCACATTTGAAACATGGTTGATGGGGCTGGCGCTGTGGCGGGGGTGGGGGGTAAGGCCAGCATCCCATATGGGCGCTGGTTCCAGTCCCGGCTGCTCCACTTCCAACCCAGCTCTCTGCTGAGGCCCGGGAGGGCAGTGGAGGATGGCCCAAGTGCTTGGGCCCCTGCACTCTCGTGGGAGACCCCAAGGGAGCTCCAGGCTCCTGGCTCCTGGCTCCTGGCTCCTGGCTCCTGGCTTCGGATCGGCACAGCTCTGGCCATTGCAGCCATCTGGGGAGTGAAGCAGAAGATGCAAAACTCTCTCTCTCTCTCTCTCTCTCTCTCTCTCTCTCTCTCTGCCTCTCTCTCTAACTCTTTCAAATAAATAAATAAATCTTTTAAAAAAAATGGTTGCACTGTCTGGCACAGAGCCATATAGCATAAAGCTGCCGTCTGCTGTTCGGATCCACGTGGGGTTCATTTCCATTTCCGGCGCTCCATTAACAGTCAGAACTTTCTGTGGCCTGGGAAAAGAAGTGAAAATGCCGAAGTGGATGGACACCTTGTGCCGACTATGAGAAATACTGATGAGCTATATAATTTTATTCAGGACTCTGAGAGAGTAAAGATGGATCGGAACATGCGATATCCTTCAGTCTCTACATGCTGCCCACAACAGAGTAGAAAAATGAAAGATATAAA